GGGTTGAAAATGCGTGGGGGGTTGGAATTTCATCGCGCACGCGATTCACCCACCATCCGAGTATTTCCGTAAATATCCGATAAAACCCGACAAAATCCCCCCAACGGAGTTCCTCACTATTGTAGAAATTTTTTTATCCCCAGTGTCTAAACCACCACAACGGGTACATCACGTTAAAATATCTCGATGCATTGCACAATTCATCCCCCAAAAGGCATCGCAACATGTCCCAAAACAATGGCCCGGGCATTACCTCGTGAATTCTGAATTGGGCGTGAGAATGATAAAAGTCCCAGAAAAATTTTGAACCCAAATTTTTCATTGATTTTAAAATTAAATCCCCTGAGATATCGAAAGAAAATCGGTGATAAATCGTCTCGATTGTTTGTGATGTGTGTGCAACCCCCTGTAACATCCCCCTTTCCCGAAAAATTTTCCACGATCCCGGGAAAAATGAGGAAAACTCGGGAAATGAAGTTATCCCTGTAGACGGCCAATTCACTATTTATCCAATCGCAACCTTTTGCTTCGCGGATATATATTTTTTTTTTTTCGGCTCTTCTTGAATTTGGGGTGTGGTGGGTGACTGTGGTATGTGATAAAAGAAATATCTCCATTATGATATCCTGTGAATTTTAAATCATTTTTATCGATTCGACGAACTATTTATCTCACGTATTTATCTGGATTAAATCTCCAAATGGCCTGAATTCACATCATCCCCGGCGCTCAACGCTTGTCACTGCACGTTCCATGAAGCTCACCTGTCCTGTGTCGTCGAGTAAGTAATCCTTCAAAACCACCCCCAACCCTTCCAAAAAAAAAAATGAATGGATTTTTTATTTTATCACCGTTTTTTCCCTTTTCCCCGGTTTTTCTGTGATTTTATTTTGATTAACGATCGAATTTTCCCACAATTTTCCGCAATTTTTCCGCAGTTTTTCCAACCCCACCCCCTCAGTTTGCGTAGTCTATTGTTCAATGGTTGTGCGTGTCAACTGCCATTAATGACGACTGAATGAACCGGAAAACTATTTTTCACTATTTATTGTTTCAATTGAGATATGTGGAAACGCGGGAAACGGGTGAATGGAGCTTTTTCTTTTTCGTCTCATCCATTTTTCTTTCTATTGTTGTTGTTTTTCTTTTTGTTTTCCTGGAATCATATGGTCGTTTGGTGGCTCGGGGGTCCCGGGGATGATGCGACACTAGTGCCATCACTCCCCCGGTGACCCAGAGATATGGGAAAATGCCTCCAGGATTGAATTCGCAGGCTTTTCACTGCTTTTCGTCTCATTAAAAAAATGACTTTTCCGAGCTTTTCAATGGATTTTTCTCTCGCCTTGTGTTCTTTGGGGTTTTAAGGCAGTGGGTGGATGAGATGGGGTAAGAGGATTATTGTCTGTAGATTTGGCGGAGACAATTCTTGATTGCAAACAGTTTTTCCATTTTCATCCGACTTTTCCGATTTTCACGGTGGTTTTCCTCTTTTGGGATGGAATGTTCAGTGGATAAATTATGGTGGAAAACATATACGATTAAATTGCCTGGTCGCCGATGAATGGGTTTCCGAGACAATGGAAAATTTTTATTTTCCAGGAAAATCTATTTTCATTGGTCAGAAAAAACTTTGAGCAGTTCGGGGGAAAATGTATCAGATAGACATGTAGAGTCTCGGAGATAGGTTTTTCAGAAATTGGCAGATTCAATTTTCCATGAAAATTTATTGGGGATTTTCCAGGGATGGGAAATTAAATTTTTCCGGAAAAATTGTAAAGATGGTGAGGGAAAACATGTAATCGGAGGAAAATCAATGGGTCCCGAGGAAGAAATTTTGGAAGGAAATGGAAAATTTTAATTTCTCATGCAAATTTTCCTCGACTTTTCCGCCGGCAATATCGAAGATCGAAAGGTCGTCAGACTGTCTTTGGGAGCGGAAATTTCACCATTTGCAAGATGGGGTGGGTTTGAGCGTTTCATCGAGGGTTGGGAAAATCCGGAATTAGGAAGTTGAGGGTTTTTGAGATATCTGATTAGAGGAATTTCCCGGGGGTCGGTTAACAGGGTCATTTTACACCCTTTGGCTTTCGCACGTCACCCCAGATAAAATAAAATCCCCCATTTGAATAATCCCTGGAACCCATAATTCTCCAATTTGCGAAGTTTTCTGGAAAATTAAATGGGCGTTGAGAGTTTTCCTGTAAACTGAATTTGCGGAAAAATTTATGCGTCAAATTGAATATGATGAAAATCACGGAAAAATTATTGGAAAAGTGAGGGATATGGAAGGATTGGGATAAATTTTATAGGAGATTATTCGGTGTATAGTTGAACGGATTTTCTTTTACTCAAAGGCGCCACCATCGATGTCAATGGCGATACAATGTACACATTGATAGTGCGCCAAGTTGAGGGTTCATTAACCCAATAAATAAACACGGCTCTAGGTTGATGTAAATCCTGTCAATACCTTTGAAAAAGCTTGAAATCTCATTTGCGTCCGACTTTTACCAATTCTCAAACACTTTCTTCATGAGTCAAAGAAAATTTTGAGGTTAACCCTTTTCTTTTCAAATAATTCACCCACAAATAATAGTCGGAAAAAAATTTAACCCTTATGGTATTTTTTCGAGATTGAGAATAATTTCTCTTGATTCATAAAATCCTTGAAGAGTGAAACGGAAGCCATCATACGTGAAAAAAAATTCGTTGGCACGTAACGATGAGAGTGGCGTTAAGGTTCGTAGGTTAAAGCGTGAAAGTTCAGTCGGTCGTCACGTTTTGTACGCATTTGGCCTCGTACGATATAATCCAAAAGAGACCTTGGTACTGATTTCGATGCTTCCGGCAAAACACCCCTACCTCTTTGACTTACGCCCCACCCACTCAAATAAAATAGAATTTCCTGTGTGTGCGATTGTATGGGTTGCAAGAACGTAGCTATCGATTTTACCCGAAATAAAAACATTCATTTTGCTTTACGCTGATGCACACCCAGCGGAAGTTGAGTCGTAAAGACGTGATGAGACTCATCGGATGTTTCTCCATTGAATCATTGCGCCGATATACCGCCAACTGCTCGTGATACGGAGTTGAAAATAGTGCCATTGGAAAGCTGATGAAATTTACTCGAGAATGAAAAAAAAAGATTTATTTTCCCTCTCTTAGTTTTCGAGTTGTAGTCTGCCGAAGTTTTCGGACGTGAGAGGCGCGGTCAATACTCGCTCCAGGACACGTCTCAAATTCTCATCAAATAGGTCATACTTTTTTTTAGATATGGTTATGGAAAATTTTTCTTCCGATCCAATAATCCCACCCTCGATAAAATTCATTGGAATGAAGTATTTTCTACTTTCTCCTTATTCTTTATTTTTTTTTTTCCTCTATCTCCACCCACTCTAGAGCTTTCGTGCGGTTGATATCGCCTCGGGAATGAGGATGACAGTTGGGTATTGGGTGTATATTCCATCTGGAGAAATTCCCAGAACGCTCTGGTATGTAGTTTACTATATACTGTCTTAAGAGCCACTGGGCGTTGATCGACTATACCGCGAGGATATCTGTACGATGAATACGTAATGGATGTAATGCAATATCTAGTGGGTCAACCTGATACTAGAGTCGCTGGATTTAACCCCATCACATGTACGACAAAGCTCTGAAATCTGGCGTAAGCCAATGCACTTAGTGAACTCAACCTGAATATCAAAATAGAAAATATCTCCCCAAGATTCCGTATCTAAATAATTTTAATTTGCATTCATTTCCCTCAATCCCAGCATTTTAACAACCGGTGGAAAGAAAAATTCAACGAGCATTTCTCATTCGTCCGGAGAGAAAAAAATTCCGCACCGATTGTTCTTCATTCGCTCGGAGAGCACGAATTCCGCGACAAATTTTTTATCCTCCGCCTGCAGTGAATTATGATGAAACGAGTGCACATGAAATAATATCCAGTTGAATTTTACCTCTTCGTTTGGTGTTATTGCACGAAAGAAGAGAAAAAATTCACAACCTGCGGCGAAAAAGTTAGGCGGCCGGATAATGCAGAAACTATTGAATGATGCAGCGGAATAATCTAAAGTTGACTTCACTCCTTTCATTTCCGTTACTCCCTTAAAACACAAAACTTCAAGTCCTCGAATTACATTTTCGAATCTTTTGTTACTTGGGGTAAAAATAAATTCTGTTCACAGCGGGGAGAAATTGAAATGGTGATTTTATTCCGGTGAAAAAGTTCCTCATCCAGGAAGACAAACCGGGGATGCGGCAAGAACTTTTTAAAAGTTAAATGGCGAGTGCGTCTGATTTCTCTTTTATTTCATCCATCTGGATTTCAAGTGCGCATTGTTAAATTGACAAAATGGCGGCGGGCGGATAGTGCAGTAGATTTCTACCGGTTCCGGCCAATTGTTGGACAATGAGATAAATAGCGATGTCATTGAGATGAATGGAATATATCGAAAAGAATTTTTTCTTTGATAAATTTGGATATGGGGTGGAATGAATATTTATGAATCGATGGCGTTGAATTAAAATGGTGGAAATTTATCGCTCGGTGTTATATACAGGTTTTTCAATGGATAAAATTTCTCCAGGTGGCGTATACACCCACTTTGTCATGCTCACTCCCTTTTTCATCTAGAAAAGGAGTTGATGGAAGGGTGTGGGAGGTAGATCCTCTACCCATTGCAGCTGAGCTGACGTTTGTCTAGCGATCCGGTTGCTGACGCGCTTAATTACTCCAGTTGGAATTGCCGGATACTCATCAATACCGCCGGATATCTTTGTTCCACCTACGTATCAACTTCTGCTTGTGATTTCTTCGGTTTTCCCCGTTTCTCACTGATTTTCTCATTTTTTTTTTCATTTTCAAACTGAAAATCGCGCGACTTCACCGGATCGACGGTGACCCCGATCGACAAATCGGAAAATTTTAGCTGAAATTAAAAAAAAGACGACCCAATTTGCGCCGTTATTTCTCCAGTTACAGCCGAAAAACGCTTTTTACCTGGAATTGTTTTTCCCTCGTAACTTGAAAAATAATGGGGTAAATTGGATTGTCTTTTTTTTAATTTCCACTGAAATTTCCCGATCTATTGATTGGGCCACTTTGTGATTCGGTAGGTGCAATATTTGGGATAGTGATTTTTCCGGCTGCGTCATTTATTCGATGGAAATTTTTCTGTTTTCATACTTCGTCTCGGTAAACACCACTTTATTACATTTTTCGGTAAATACTCGACAATACCGTTTTCCAAGTAAACCGTGATGAGGGAGAGAGGAAAAAGTCTGGAGAGGACATTTTTTTTTGTTTTCCCTTTGTCAACAATTTGCGTCTCGAGGGGTTATGGTACACCGTTACCTCACCCACACGATTTTTTTTTTTCACACTGGTATCATTAGTGAGACCTCGTTGGTGGTATAAAAATGCAGGAGTCATTTCGGTTTCATTCTCTCTTTATTAGTTTTAATAAATTCTTACATTTATGAGATTGCGGAAGGTAACATTCAGTGGGCGTTGGATTTTTTTTTCCGCAGGTTCGTCTCTTATTCTTAATCTAGCGGGGGTAAAGGTCAGAGAGACTCATGTGTCTCATATAAATCTCTTTTGATATATCTGAGGTTATTATTCTAAACGATAATGCAGTGGTGAGACTCATCCCGATTTCCCGATCACTTTTCAATGAATATCTCGCAATCCTGACTTAAAACATAAATTTTCATTAGAATCTTTTTTTCAGAACTCATTAAATGCTACAAAAAAGGTCGTAATGAAAATTTCACTGTCTCCTTCAATTTTGGAGATATTCACCGAAAACTACTCTTACCTCCGCAAAACGCGTTGCGGAAATTTCGATTTTCGACCGGCGATATCTCGAAGATCCCTGAAGATAGAGACTCGATTTAACTCTCGTGTTAAAGCCAAATCGTGAAAATTTGATTGAGTGCATTCTGACCGATTATCTACAATTTCTCCGGTGGAGGTGCGGTCAAGGCATGCGCCAAGTATTTTTTTGATTTTATCCGTTAGCATGGCGCCGATCATTTGTAATTATTTTGCATCTTCAGGGCTGTGAACTCTCGTTTGTGATCTCGATTTTTTGTTTTTTTTTGCTACAGTGGGCGTGCGGGGGTGACTGGAGTGATGGGATGGGGCCAGAGCCCCATGGAGTTCGGGTAGGCCCGTCTCCGGCCCAGCTCCCCAGCCCCCTCCGCCATCGTAATCGTCACCGATCGTGCAAGCGAAGAGGTGGGCCACCTCGTACGCGATGGAGGCAGGTAGCACTCAACAACGTAAGGAGAAGGTACCACGTGTACACAGACCTTGCGCCTTCGATAAGGTAAATCGTTAATTCTTTATCTAATGGAGAAAAATATTGAAAAATAAAAATTTTTTTGAAAGATGGAGGGGCTGGTGCAGAAGATGCAAGACGCGGAGAACGGTGTGCCAGTTGGCAGCCAGAAACAATTTCTCACGTCGATTCCTTCGGCATTCATGGGTAACATCATTAAAATTAATTGAAGTCATTCGTTCTTAATGAAGACCCTTCGGTTTCAAGTGTACGAGAAATGAAAGGGAATTAAAAAAAAATCTCTGATTTTTCCGCAGGGTACGATCTCATAGAGTGGCTGATAGACCGACTCTCGATCGATGAAACCGGTAATTACTGACTCACTCATTCTCCATTAATTCAGAGAAATGAAAAATTAATGTACCCGGTTTTTCTTTTCTTTTTTTTTTTATTATCTCCTACAACAGAGGCGGTCCATCTAGCCAATCAGCTATGCCAATACGGTTATTTCTTCCCAGTGAATGATTCCAAAACTCTGACTGTTAAGGATGACAGTTCCCTCTATAGATTTCAGGTGAGTCGCTCACGCGTAATTAATTTTTATCATTGACTTTTTGGAGTGAAATATAAAAATAATGAATACATTTTTAGACACCGTATTATTGGCCTTGGCAGCACCGGACACCTGATAACGTCGAGTACGCAATATATTTAGCAAAACGCACATTAAGAAACAAACAACGTCACGCACTTGAGGAATACGAGATCGTGAGTCAAATATATGTATACATAATTAAAAATTGATTTGAATCAAGTTGGAAAATTAATTCGAATCAACTTAAAAAATTGATTTGACTAAAAAAAAAACGATTTGAATAAAAAATAAGTCGCTATCAATCATGAAAAAAAAAACGCTCGCTCAATCAGTATTTTTCAAATGCAGGAAGCACTGAACAGCCTGAGAAAAAATCTAGCCAACAAGTGGGAGTTAATACAGATGCAAGCAGAAGAGCAAGTGCGTCTCTCCAAGGATCGCAAGAAGGGTGATAAAATAGTGAGTGATTCGCAGGAGCGGGCATTCTGGAGGGTCTACAGACCTCCACCGGGATGTCCAAGCAGTCTCGAGGTAGTTCCTGTTCCAACAAGAGCAAGACCCGGTGCTAAATTACCGATAAGAAAGCGAACGCTCAATGATCTCCAGCGCGATGTAATTTATCATCTATTTATGCTGGTCGATTCATTGAAATAATATATTTTCAATGATTTTATTTGAATTGCAGGTTGAGTTATTGAGAAACAGCTTGACACGCACTCGTACTAAAGTATCGGTGGCTATTGAAAATATAAGGACTTATTACGAGACGTACACGGAGTACGATCCTATGGTTGTACCATCCCAGCCATCCAATCCCTGGATTACGGATGACCAGTCATTTTGGCAGCTTAATAGTCCTCTGGTGGAGGTGCCAACGGAGAAGAGGGTGAGGAGGTGGGGTATCTCCATGGAGGAGCTCATGTTCGATCCTACGGGATTACTCGAGTTTACCAATTATCTTAGGAAGGAGTACAGTCATGAGAACATCAGGTTTTGGCTGGCTGTCAAGGATCTCAGGCACTGTAATCAGGCACACATCGGGGATAAAGTCAATGAAATATTTCGGTGAGATTTCTTGTCAATTGTTGAGTGTAATTGAATGGATTTTATTTTTTCGCATTGAGGACGTCTTTGGGTTAGTCGTCAGCGTGCTGGCCCTATGACCAAAGCGTCCCGGTAATGCAGATTCGAGTCCCGATGGTGAAAAATTTTTCATCGTCGGAAAACGAACCCAGTGCCTGTGGAAGTTAGTTATAAGGTAGTTAGATGAAAAGTGCGGGTAGGGAATTAGGTTGGGGTACCGCGTAGGTACTGCGAAAGGGTTGGTAAAAGACCCACTAGGGTCATACCATCTGGCACCACCCATTTATCTTTATCCTATTTTTTCGCATTGAATCGTGAGTGATTGGAATGTCTGTTTTAATTTGTTTTTTTTTTGTGTATAGAGAATTTTTAGCACCTGGCGCACCTTGTGAAATAAACATTGACGGCAAGACGATGGAGAAAGTCCACCAGGAAATGAAGAATCCGAGCAGATTCACATTCGATTCTGCTGCTGAGCATGTCTACACACTTCTACTTAAAAAGGACTGCTATCCTAGATTCATAAGGTCTGATCATTACAGAAATCTACTGGCTGCTGGTGTACAGCCTTTACAAAAGAAAAGGTACGTTATCCTCTTCTTGAATAAAATAATACATTATCTCTAGAAATTCATCAATTGCAATTGGTGTATTTCAAATTATTTCCTGAAACGGTGGTATCAAAATATCTATCGATGATAAGTACGTTAAATATTTTCCTCTGCAGATTTTTTAATTTCGGGGGACAAACGAAGAAAAAAGCGACACTAGGTGGTATGGGTTTGCAACAAACAAGCATGAGTGGCTCAACGAGTGGTAGAAGAAGGGGTAGTGATCGAAGTCTATCAGGATCAGCTCATGAATTAGCTGTCTGTGGAACACGTGACGTGACTACTGCCTCCAGAGTACCCCATTCCCTCAGCCAACAGAATCTCACTGATATTCCCTACAGGTATGGACTCGATAATCACAACTATTTGTTGTAACAACGTGACATTTCGCGAACACTTAACACTGTCGAATGAACACGAAATTTTTGTTGAAAAAAAAGAAATCGAAATTTTTGTCTTTATTCTGCAGTGAAAAATGTATATTTTCAGGGGAGACCTGGAGCGTCTCACTAAGATCATTTCCAGGCCTAGTCCACGTAGTGTTCAGTAAGTCCTCAATGACAATGAGATGAGAAAGAAAAAAATTGAAATTGGGACAATTATTTATAAAAAAATCGTTGATGTCTGTTCCCTTGAAATTATCCAAACATTATCGTTGTGCAGTTCATGTATTTTTTGAGATTATTGTGATAGTCTGGATGTCATACGGGGCTCTCTGTGCATGAATGTCTATTATAATTATGTTTTTCATAATCAATTTATGAAAATTTATGTGGCTTTTTATTTCTACAAAATTTATTCCTGTGAATTTCGTTGTTTTTTTGTAAATAATCTTCTTAAGAATTGACTGTGGAGTGATCTCATTGAATAGACGGGAATTTTTTTTTTTTAATCTCCAATATTCCGTTTATTCAATGACCAGTTTGGGCTCCACATCTCTCCAGGAATTCACCCCTGAAATTTTTGCATAGAAAACATCTCAATTTAAAAATATAATTCTCTTTGTATCTCTTTTTATCGATATTATCTCAATGTATACCATACATCGGTGTTCCCCCAAACCCCCCCATTTCATCCCTTGATAATACCGAGCCATCAAAAATGCTGACCTTTGTATTACATTTTCTACACCCTCACTTTTTCATGTTGCCAGTCATAGTGTAAAATTTCTCCACAAAAAAAGAACGGATAATATTTTCTGTGAGATCAATTGTTCGGGAGATAATCATCACTAAACCCCGAAAATCCCTGACAGCCCCTTGTTTTTTTTTTTTTTTTTTTAATAGAGAAAGGAATATTTTGAAAAAATGGCTAAAAAAATAAAATGACATAATGAAGTTGGTGTTGTCAGGGATGCTGGTGGCACCGAGACATCAGTGGTTCGCCCTATGGACGACGTATGTCCGTGGGACGCAGCACCAGGTCCGAGCAACGAGCCAGACGCAATTGCAGGCACATCATCAGGCTCGACTGATCCATCAAATTGGTCTGGAATTCATTTACCACCGGACACTGGATCAAGGGCATCGAGAAAAAATTCATCCCAGTTTGACTCCTGCAGTTCATCGTCGGATGTTAGTATAGCAATAGCCGAGGCATCAGAGAGATTGAGAAAAACGTGTGGACTTCAGTATTCAACTACTATCGCTGGTCCTAATTTAACGAGAAATTACTCAGTGGGACCAGTTCCCAGGGTTAAATTGGCTGATACCAGCAGATCATCGGTGTCATCGTGTAATTTTCCATCGCCACAGCACAGTTTTGATATGTCTGGAGTACATCTCGGAGGACAGGGCCATCAGGTTCATCAGGTTTGTTCTAAATGATTTTTTCAATAATTTTTCCATCAATTCTCGTAATTTTTTCGGTGGAAATTCAATTCCAAAAAAATTTTTAAACAATTATGAAAGAATAGTAAAATTGTAAGACGCGAAATGAAAAGAAGGAATTCGTTACTGAATTCTATTGAATTAATGGGTAAATGTATTTTCTGTCAGCTTCATCAACTGGATGTTGCCAAGAGTGTCCCAGAGGAGTCTGAGAATTGGAGTACAGAGGAAAGCGCTTCAGAGTTAGAGGACACGAAGGAATCGAGAGCCCCAGGGATAGCTCCTCTCATAAGTATTTCGACGATTGTTGGTGATATCACTGGAGAAGGTGTCGATGGAGACGACGAGAAGATACCTGAGACAATCGAGGAGATACCCGAGGTGGAGGAAAAATCGAAAATACCTGAGGAGCACGTCGAGGGAAGAGAGACTGATTCTGGTGAAGAAGCACAAGTCGTTCCAGTCTGGGTCCCTGATGACAGTGAAAATGATCCTGAGGGACATAAGGAGGCAAGTGAACCAGTGCCAGGGGAACGTGACAATAATGTTAATGAAGTTTGCCCGTGGGAAGATGAGTAAGTTCATTAGAGACTTTTCAAGTAATTATCTTACGTAATTAATGCAATAACCGTTATTATCAATTCTACGATTCTCCGTTGTCTGGATAATGAGATAATTATCTAGGGAATGAGAGGGTTTTCGAGAAAATGTCAAAAGAAGTTTTTTATTGAGGATTTAATATGCTAGAAAAATGGTTATTAACATTTTTTTTAGTAAAGACCGGGGTTTTTGAGATATTGCACTGAGAAAAAGAAATTATTCTGCTATGTTTATTAGTGGAAAGGAATTGTCAATATTTGTGGAATGTAAATTAATATTTTTGGTTTGGTTTTTCAGGGAAAACTGTAGAGTGGATGCAACCTACGTGAAGACCTACGCGACCCTAGGATACTTGTAAAGGTGCTTAAGACAGGAACATTTTTAGACTTGAGAGTATTCAAATTTCGAGGATTTCGTCGTGGAGAAGGAGTAATTGTAAAATAATTTTTGCTGCATTCGGAGGTGTCTGCAGTTATCATCGGCGGTCTCTCAGTCAATCGCGTGTCTCAGGTGTTCAATCATCTCCCCAGTCCCAGTCCAATCGGCAAAAGGTAGGAAAAAACAATTAATTTCACTAATTAACCAAACACAAAGAGAAAAACCACAGAATTATTATCTAAAAACTAGTCTAAAAATCGATTAATCCGCCATTTTTTAAATTTCATGGATCTGATCAATTGAGTGAAAATTGAAAAGTGAGAAAATGGCTAGTTTTTAAATTTCGACTTTTAATTAATGATTAATTAAATAGAGGAATCAATTAAGATAATGGAAAGGATTATCTATTCGTGTTGAATCGGGAGATTTCTCCTCAATGATAAAAAAAGCGTATATTATCGTTAATAAAATTATTATTGAATAAACAGAGAATTTAGAAGTGTTTAGATTCTTCGTGATGTTTCTTCTCAATTAGTGATTAGTAATGTGAAACGCTTGTAATTTAGGTGAAAAATTAGTAATGTTGTTTGAGGATTCGTCCGGGGGATTTGAAAAAAAGTTTGTGGAATCAAACAATTATTTAACAATTTTCCTTTAGAGGATTTGGCTCAAGGTGGACTGTCACTAATGAGCCCATGACCTCCCCCTTGGGTTCCCATCTTCAATGATTCCCAAACTCGTTAATAAATTATTGATTTTCCGTGATTATTTTCAATTTGAAAAATTGACAGATGAGAATTTTTTTCGTTGATCCACTAAAAAAATCGTTTTTCGGGCAAATAATTTATTTATTTAGGGATTTTTCAATGGAAAATTTTGGGGAATAATTTTAGCGAGGGAATAATTAATTAGTTGTGCCTCTGGGGTGAATTAGGTGCTGTGTTTGCAGTCGATAAATCGATTAAAGGCTTTTGTGATAGTAGACTACAGCGAAATCAGTGTCTATTGAGTATGTGTGATTAAAAAAAATGTTGATAAATAAAAAAAAAATTACTGGTTGTAGATTGAAATAGATTATTAGAGACGAGGTAGATTTTTTCTTGATGTTGATAGTCAACGAATTCACTGAGGTAAACGAGCGAGAATTTTTTCGAGACTAATTCAGTCGATTCAATTAATGATTAAGGAAATCATTAATAAGTGATCGGAGCCTTCAGAGACTGCCACTGCCCCGGAGTCTGAAGTTCTCAATCACAAAATAACTAATTGCTAATTTAAAAAAATAAACAGTAAAAAGAAAATAAATTCTCATTTGAAAAGAAAAACAAGAATTAAAAGTCGAAATATACGAAAGTTGTTATTAATCATTTTCTCACTTTACTAATCACTTGCCGATTAATTATAGGAATTGTTTATGCAATTTTATGTAAAATGGAACGATTTATAATAATTTGGCGTGGCGGATTAAATCGACAATTTCAGAATATCTGAAGGACAAAATTATAAAATAAGTCTTTATGTTTGATGAACATTTTCATCTGGTTATTGAATCATTTGTTAATTGAGAATGGGGGAGGGGATAATTGACAATTGACGCATGAGACAGGCTGGCAATCGAGACGCCAAAAGAATGAAAAAAAATTTATCTTAAAAGCAGACTCTTAATAATCGTCAGCTCAATCTAAGTCTAGAGTGATTTTAATCTTAGGGACATTAATTATTAATTAATTAACGATAATTGAGGATAACGTGGGATTAAGAGAAAGGAATAATATATATTTGCCGATGTGCAAAAACAGCAACCCCAGATAAAAATTAATTTTAATGATTAACAGAAAGAAAAATTGACAGTTGGTGGGTAGGACTTGATATTACGCATTAGCGGTGACAATTTGTAGATTTAGATCTAGATTTTTAATGAGAAAAAAAAAAATATTGAGGAGGTGCGAGAGGTGCGGGGTGATCCCGATTTTGAAAATGGTCTAAAATGTTTTTTGAGTTGATGGGATGGAATAATTGAAGGGACGTGCTTGGTACTCACCCCTCATTAAACAAAATAATACCAGACAGGGATTAAAAATGAAAGACAATTTGTTCAACAAATTCACCTGAAGTTCAATGAATTCTAGTGGTTTTTTTCATAGAAAAATTTGGATAAACTTACGATAACCAGATATTTATTATTGTATTGGGGGAGTGCATTCGAGTTCGATTAAGAAGTACCTGAGAAATAAAACCAGAGAGAGAGAAAAATAAACGATTTAAAGTATTATTTAGGCCTATGTCGATTGTTCGTGAACAATTGTAATATAAATACGTTGATTTAGCCATAATGTTGTCCCTGATTAAATGAATAATTTGACTAGGTTTTCGTCTCGCTTGTGCTCCCATTATATTTATTTTCGTTAAAATTTTTGTACGCGAATAAAAATATTGATAATATCGTCCATCACTGGAGGGGTAGATTAAATTCAATAGGTGTCAATGAATCAGTTAGCAATTAATGGATACATTTGTTCGATTTAATTCAGTTCGATTGGAGATTTTTCATTGTGAAATAGGTGCTGATAATTGATGTGTGCCTAATGTGTTATCATTGCCGTTGATTAAACGCTGAAGGGTGAATTAATCAATTTTTGAGGATTGATAAGAGATTTCAATGGAAATTAAGAGTTTGATCATTTGGGACGATTAAAACGACATGAAATGTCGAGAATAAAATCTGTTGTATCAAATTTCCATTGCAGAACGATCATTAACGATGAATAATCATCCAGTGATGATAATTATTTGCCGCATAAATGTTATTTACACTCGAACAAAAATTGAGAAATGTTGAAAAAAAAAAAACGTAAAAACTCGAGGAAAAAATGTTAAAATGGGCTTTAGTGTATATAGTTTTGTAAAGTGTTATTAGCAAGTCGGAAATTATGTGGAAATTTTTGGAAAATGTCATGATTGCACTAGAAGTGATCGGTGCAATTGTCGGATCATCCTACGTGCGAGAAAAGATGAATAATTGAAAGGGAAGACTTACCAAAAATTCATTATATAATGTTATAGAGCAGTATCGAGTGCCCGAAATGAGTATGACACATTGTCTGTTAAAAATAGCATTTTAAAAGCTGCTGTCATGATAATGACGCTTCAATGATTGATAAAAACGTCGAATAATGGAAGAAAAAAGAACAATTTGAAATTGTCACATGGATATGTAACGACATAAACCTAATGGAAAAATTAATCGACACGTTTTTGTTGACTATGGGTTGTATATAATATACGTATACGTATAAACAAGTGCATAAATAATTGTAAGCTGTCAAAAGAAAAGGTGAAAAGATATAGAATGTCATAATAAAGAAATTACAAAGTAAGATGTATATTGTGGTTTTTATTTATCATCATTTGTTAGTGGATTATTATTTCTTTTTATTTAACCAAGTTGCGGCACTAAAAACATTGACAGCGATTGGTGGGACAGTCTGAGGGGTACACCAAGCATCTATCCATGCAGTAGACGTCTGCACCGGTTTTTCCTTCTAATTCGCCGATTGCTGTGCACTCCTCCCTGGAAAACATAGAAAGGTTATCAAAAAAGGTCACGTGACCGGAAGTGACGTCATAAAAAAATCGGTCACGTGACCGGAAATGACGTCATCAAAAATTTTGGTCACGTGACCGGAAGTGACGTCATAAAAACACTCGGTCACGTGACCGGAAGTGACGTCAT